CAGTTCCTCACAGAGACCGGGCTGACTAAGGACGACCAGCGGAAGTTGCGTGGCTGTGGCTGTTGTTGTTGTTCATCTTTTTTAAAGTAATCTCAGCCCACAACGTGAGGCTCCAACTCACAACCCCGAGATCAAGGGTCGCGTGCTCCATCGACTGAGCCAGCCGGCCGTCCCAGTTTCATGGGTTTTAAGTGCTTTTGATTCACTGAAGCTTACGTGAGGATTTCCTTGCAACGAGTAGAATTTCCCTTCTGTCCCATATCGCAAGTTCAGAAACCTCGTGGCTTACATAATGTAACCATTTGGGGTCTGCTTTTAGCTTGGAGTAATGCAATTCCTTCGTGCGGTCAAATGAAGAGAAAGGGGCGCCTGGGTGGCTCAGTGGGTTAAATCTCTGACTCTTGATTTCAGCACCTTGAGGTGGTGAGATCAAGCTCCAAAGCAAGACAGGCTCTGTGCCTGCAGCGTGGGGGGCTGGAGAGTCTCTCTCCCTTGCCCTCTGCCCTTCCCCCACTCACGCGGCCTCTTTAAATTAATTAAATTAAATCTTTATTTTTTTAAGGTATTTATTTGTTTGTTTACCTGAGAGAGAGAACAAGTGGTGCGGAAGGGCAGAGGGGGAGGGAGAAGCAAGCTCCCCGCTGAGCAGACAGCCCGATGTGGGGCTCGATCCAGGGACCCTGAGATCATGACCTGAGCCGAAGGCAGAGGCCTAACCCACTGAGCCACCCAGGCGCCCCAGTAAATAAAATCTTTTTTTAAAAAATGAAAAAAAGGGGGAAAAAAGTGAATTGGAGCTTGTGTGTCCATGTCCACCATACACCGTCCTGCGAATAAAGCAGGAAAGGGGGCGAAGCCCGTTGCTCTGTGTGTGTTTCACAGCAGCCCTGCGGGGCTGCGCGGTGAACGTGGCGCCGCTGCCCGAAGCCTGGCCCCAAGCAAGCGGCCGCGCGAACCAGAAGGAAATACTGGCAGGATCGGGGAGCAGATGGGTGCTGCTGGGCGGGGGCGGGGCCCGGGCAGCGCGAGGAATTCCAGTGTCTCCGGTGCCTCTGGGGAATGGGCACTGGAGCAAAAACCCAGAGGAGGAGCGAGTCCCTTCGCCTCTGCCTACGTGCGCCGCGGCGGGTGCAGTGCCGGCGGCCGGCAGTCCCTGTGCTCTCAGCACACGTGCGACTCCTGCCTCTTCCCTCGTGCGCCTTAGCATGCTTTGACCTGTTCCCAGTGGCATTTTCTTATCCCAGTCGGCATTTTCTTAGGTACTTAAAACAAACCAACGCAAAGTGGCAAATGGCCCCGGGCTGCCCAGATAGCAGGTGTCCCTTAAGCCTGGAATTTCTGCGCACTGTGCTCCAGGCAGCCCCTTCCTCCAGTTTTAGAAATCATCTGCAGTTGCCCTCTTCATCTCCCCATCCCCCCACAGCCTGATGGGCTCAAGTTTCTGTTTCTGGAAATCTGGAGGCTGACTTGGCTTTCAGACATGGGGGTGGGGATGTGGAACTCCGGGCTTCTCAGAAGAACCCCCTCTCCACCCTCAGGCCACTACAGGCCTGACCTACTGGGTGGAAGGCCGGAAGGTCTTGCTCCCTCTCCTCCCTAGAGCACGGCCCACACTGGAGAGGGGCAGTCCAGAGGTTTGGGGCTGCCCTGCTCAAGGTCAGGCCCCGGGGCCCCTCCTGCCGGAGGCTCTAGCAGTCCTCAGCATTCGGACACGGGTGTTGTATCATGCTGCTGAGAAGCGAAGGAAGATCAGAAGGTGGGAGACAGGAGAGACAGGTCAGAGGTCCAGCAAACCCTCAATGGTCTGGGAGTGCCTGGCCCTGGGCTAACTTAACCTGGAGCCCATCTTGGGGACCCCTGGGGCAGGCCAGGCCTCAGCTGGACTAGATTGACAGCATGGGTGATCGACAGCTGTGCTGGGGGAAGGGGAGGAGATCTTCAAGGCCCTTAGACCCAAATGTTATGGCGGCCCCTACCAAGCAGAGGCTGCTTGGGAGCCTGGGTGGTCCCAGAGCAGAGAAGCAAGGGGTGGGGAGGCCTGGGTGGTGCCAGCCTCCACTGCAACTAGAATAACATTGCCCCAGTGGCCTAACCCTTGCCTGCGGACCCTCCATTTTCCCCAGGGCCCAAGGAGCCGGTTTGGCAGCGTCTGGGCAAGAAGCTGGGTGACATCACCCGACCAGTTTATGGTCCAGGTTCCTCAGAAATCACACCTGGTTGCACATTAACCAGCTGGCCCTGGAGGGGGAGGGAAGCTTCAGTGGAATCCCCAGCTTTTCATCTGTGGGACTTAGCCTGCCTAATGGTGCTGCAGCTGTAAGCAAGCACAGGTAGGCCAGATGGGAGAGCCAAGCAGGGGACCAGAGGTCATTCTCAGAGTCTGTCCTCAGAGGGCAGTCAGGGTATAGGCTGCCCCGTTGGCTCAGTGAGGAGAGCACGCAACCCTTGATATCGGGGTTGTGAGTTTGAGCCACATGCTGTGTGTAGAGATTACTTAAAAATAAAATCTTTGGGGGGCACCTGGGTGGCTCAGTGGGTTAAAGCCTCTGCCTTCGGCTCGGGTCATGATCTCAGGGTCCTGGGATCAAGCCCTGCCTCGGGCTCTCTGCTCAGCGGGGAGCCTGCTTCCTCCTCTCTCTCTGCCTGCCTCTCTGCCTACTTGTGATCTCTGTCAAATGAATAAAATCTTTAAAAAATAATAAATAAAATAAAATAAAGTCAGGGTGAGCATTTCTTCCTCTTTGTGCCCTGTCCCTAGTTCTGAAGAACCAAAGGGGAAGCTGGTTGGGGTCAGGAGAGGAGTGGGAGCAGCTTTGGGGTCAAGCACTCTGAGGCAGGAGGCTAGGCTAGTCAAAGAGGGGAGGAGCTTGGTCCCTGCCAGGTGCAGCCTCCCCCTGTGGGCATCTTCAGCTTCTCCCTTTCCCCCAGAGTGACTCTGACCCTTTTCTCCAGGGTCTTTTTCCTGGCTGCTCTCACCTTTATTCAGATCTACCATTAGTTCTCTGAAGTCAGATTTACTGGCTTTAAATTCCAGTCCAACTGTGGACCCATTGCCTATGTGACCTTAGGCAACTACCTAACCTCTCTTGAGTCAGCATTTTCCCATCTGTAAAGTGATCCGCACCCCCCACACAGCCCCCTGCTCCATAGGATTGTGGAGAGAGTTTAATATGATGAGACTTAGCTGGGCTTATATAGAATCAGTTCTTGTTAGTGGAGCCTCAATAGATAAACTCTGCCCAAAGCAAGATGCCCACCTGACCTGGGTCATCAGCTGGAGCTTGGAGGAAGCTGGTGCTTTGAGGACGCAGACTGAGGGCTGGGGCAGGCGTGGATGGGACCAATGGGCAACTCTGGGTAGGCTGCCTGGAAGAAGGACACTGGAGGAGCTGGGCCAGCCAGTTACAGACAGAGGCAAGTGGGAAGTTGAGACCACAGGAAACCACGGCCAAGTCACCAAGTCCTAATTTAGACTCTTAGTGGGCGCCCAGCCCCAGCTCCATACTGCAGCTGAGAGGTTGGGGAAGAGGAATCCCCAGAAGTGGAACGTTGACATCTCCCAGGGGAGCGATTAGGTGGTGACTCAGGCAGGTGCATCACCAAAGGAGCAAAGATCACCTGGAAGGGAGGCGGCTCCTCTCAGTGCCGGGAGCAAGAGGCAGGGAGGCCGTGATGAGCCACACAGGCACCTGGTGGCCAGAGTGCTGGTCCCAGAGGAACATGAACCCACGGGGAATGGGAGGCCACCTAAGTCCCCTTAACTTTTTACCTCCTCCAAGAGAGGTTCCCAGGCCCAGTCCAGCCAGGGCAGAGGCATGGTGGGGGCAGGGTGGGGGCGGTGGGCTTGAGGCTAGGCTGGGGTTTCCACCATGGATTCTGTGGGACCCATGGCAAGGGCCACAGACCCTCTGGCAGGCCTGGCCACTCCCATTTTGCCAGGCAGGAGCTATGTGGGCCCGGGGTGTGGCCGAGGGTCATTGCTAGCTTGACCATTGCTAGGTTTAGGCCCTGACTCAGCCTCTGTGTGGCAGGGGTCGGCGGGAGAGTCTCTATCCCTTTCAGGTCCCCAGGGCCAACAGGACAAGGCCTGGTTGCTGGAAGCTGGGAGACGGAAGGCGTCCCACATCCCTGTCGTCCTTCCCTCCCCCCACACTGTCGGCCGAGGAGCTGGCTCTGAGTCAGCCAGGCTGAGACAGAACAGGGCTGCGCTTCCCTTTTCTGGCCCTTGCCTTCCCGCTGCCCAGCCCCCAGCTCAGGCCGCTCACCTGGGCCTCCCGACCCCAGCGTGAACCCAGCTCCTGCGTCTCGGCACCACCCACCTGCCCCTGCCCCACGGCTTCCCTGTAGTGGAGGACGTGCCGGCAGGGGAGCCCGGGCCTGGCCTAAGGCCGTCTGGACACCTTCCCGGACAACCCACCGGTCTGCAACTTCACCATCTGGCGTCCACCCCGGGGCCCGGTCTGAGGGGCTCCCAGAGCGGTCCCGCGGGCACCACGGCCAAGGCAAAGCGCCTCGACGCGCCTGGGCAGCTAGCGAGGGCCGGCCTTGCCGGGAAGCCCAGCCCCGGTGCCCGCCCACAGCAGCCCGGCCGCGGGGACGCTGCAGCCCCCCGAGTGTCCCCCGCACGAGCTTGTGTAAACAGGGAAGCCGCAGCGGCCCGAAAGGCGCCCAAGAGGCGCGCTCCGCCGCCGGGCGGGGCTGCCCGCGGGTCCCGGCATCCTGCGCGGGGGGCGGCGCAGGGCGGGGCGGGGCGCCGTGACGCCATCGGCGGGCGCCGGGCCGGAGCCGGAAGTGTGGAGCCGCTCTCGCGGCGGCACGTGCGGAGCGTCCGGGAGCGGCCCCCGCCGCGCGAGGCGGGTGAGACTGCGCGTGGTCCCCTCCCCCCCGGCCCGGCGCACCCCGACCCCTTCCGCGGGGCCCTTACCGCTCCTGCATCCCCCTGGAAGCCCGTTTGGGGGGAGACTAGGGAGGGGGGCTTCGCGGAATGGAGCCCGGCATGGAGGTGATAGCGCAGACCAGCGGCCGCTGCCCCGCTGGTGGCCGGGCCCTCATCTCGCCCCCGGAGCATGGGAGCCAGTCGGCTGGGCTCCGGTCCTTGCTTGGTGGGAAATCTTGGGCCCGTCCTCCGCCGTGGCCCCGCTTCCGTTTCTCCCTCTGTGATTAGGGCCGGTGACTTGTGTCTCGTGACCCAGACCGAGGAGGGTTTAACCTGTCCAGCCAGGGTGCAGCCAGGGACCGAGGCAGCCGCCCCACTCGCACCGCGGGGCTCTGGGCCTCACAGCCCTCCGCCCAGATTCCAGGTGCACCCTCCTGGCACCTTTCCGCACTCATGTCGACACGCTTCCTCCCAGGTCCCAGGCACCTGCCCGATAGCAACAGTATGAGCTTCGTGGCCTATGAGGAGCTGATCAAAGAGGGTGATACGGCCATCCTGTCGCTGGGCCATGGTGCAATGGTAGCAGTGCGTGTGCAGCGTGGGGCACAGACCCAGACCCGGCATGGTGTCCTGCGGCACTCGGTAGACCTCATCGGCCGCCCCTTCGGGTCCAAGGTGACCTGTGGCCGAGGTGGCTGGGTATATGTGCTGCACCCCACGCCTGAGCTCTGGACCCTGAACCTGCCGCACCGCACGCAGATCCTCTACTCCACCGACATTGCTCTGCTCACCATGATGCTGGAGCTCCGGCCTGGCTCTGTGGTCTGTGAATCCGGTGAGTTCTTTGGGCTACCTCAGTTCTATTTCTGGAAAAGTGACGTGAAGATGGAGATCCGACCCAGCATCGAGACAAGCCTCCAGCTTGCCCTTCCTGAGGACGGGCATGGGTGCTCAGCCTCTCTTGCAGGAGGTCTCTGGGGGGCTGACTGCAGGGAGTGAGACTCGGTGGAACTGGTTAGGAGGCTGGCACTGTGACCTGACTGAGAGTTGATGGTGCAGGACCAGCGCTTTCCCCCGCCAGGAGCTGGTGTTCAGTGAGGATCCTGCCTGCCTTGGTGGGGCAGGGCCAGAGTGCCGCTCGGCTCTGGCCTGGCTGCCGCCTGCCGTTCCCTACCTCTGTGCTGACGGAAGGGCAGAGAGCGCCTGGCCTAGCAGTCCTTGACCACCCCTTCCCGGAGGGAGGCCAGAGCTGCTCTGAGGTGCTCACTATAGGTAGGGAGACTGCCTCAAGCTCATCCTCAGCCGGCAGCACTGTACGGAGTCCAGGGCCTGAGGTCCGTCCTGGCCCTCACACGCACATACACACACATGGGCAGTGGGGCCAGCTAGGACGGAGATTGAAGCACACACCCCAGCCAAGAACAGCCCAGGCACGTGTGCACCTAGATTTCCAGCGTGTTCGTCATGGGCTGCGCAGCTGGGCTCCAAGGTCACGAAGATTCCACCAACTTTCCAACTTTCTGAGGATTCGAGGCTATCTCACCCTTCTGCATGTGGACAATTGGATGATTCCTGTTGCCCAGCCAAACACTGAAATGGGAAGGGTCAGGCACAGACCTGGGCTGTAGGTCAGAGGGTGGGCAGGGGCTGGGCAGAGGCCAGCTGCTCATCCGCAGGGGACCTGGGGTGGGGGTGGCGGTGGCGGTGGCGGCAGGACAGCAGGACTGCAAGACGGCGCCACCCCTGCTACCGTGTGTGCGGTGGGCATGCTTCTGGGCTCTGCTGTGCCAGCTCCTGGTCTAGGAACGATGGGTCTGGCCCTGAGTAGCACAGGCCGGGTTTCTGCTTCCCCGAGCAGGGAGTCAGCCCAGTGTCACCATTTCAGTGCTGAGTTGATTGCCGTAAGGCTGCACGTTTGAGGGCGACTCCCAGGGGTCCCTCCAGCTGGGTTGGTCGGGGAAAACTTCTGACAAGATGTTCAGCTGGGAATGATGAGGAGGAGGCACTGCCAAGAGCCCAGGGAGAGCGTCTCCCCAAGGGCGAGCCATGCAAAGTGCGGGCCCAGCAAGGAGGCCCGAGTGGCCAGAGCAGGCATTGAGGTCAGGAGGAAACAGGCACAGCTCAGAGAGCCATTAGGGGTCCGACTCTGCTTGGTGTGGGGTGGAGAAGGCAGGCGTGACTGAGGTGAAGAGACCCTCTGCTGTGTTTGAGGCAGGATAGAAGGCGGCCGGGCCAGCTGGTGGAGGTCACCCCAGGGAGCGGGGTGGCAGGGTGGGAGTGGGGGGAGACACAAGTTACTAGTGGGTTGAATGCAGGGTGGAGAGGGGCATCGAGGGCGCTTCTGGGGTGTCTGGCTGAGCTCTGGGTGCCTTTGACTAGGCTGGGGAAGGCCTGACGGGGGGGGGGGTTTGGGATAGGAGCGGGCCCAGCTTTGCTCTTGTTCCTGCTGAGTGCCGGTCAGCTGTTTGGGGCAGGGGTGGGAGATGCGTGTGCACTGGACACTAGGTAGGAATCTGGCGTGCAGGGACATGTTCATCAGGCATAGCATCTGAAACCACAGGGGAGGGGTGGTCCTTGCGGGGGCAGGGCCGTGGCCCCACTGGGGGCTGCCAGGTGGGAAGTCCAAGCTGAGGGGTGGCCAGAACAGGTGGAAGAGAACCAGGGGATGATGACGCAGAAGACTGGCGCCGTGTGGCCAGGTGGTTACCATGTCGCAGCTCATTGCCGTGAGGCCGTGGGGAGGAGGACAGGGCTGCCGCTGTGTGGTGGAGGCGGGTGAGGGGCAGAGGGATGGGCAGCCTTAGCGGGCCAGGAGCTGGGGGGAAGGGGCTCGGGACCAGCCACCGGGTGGAGGGTAGGGGACAGGCCCGCGCTGCCCCATCTACTCTGTCCAGACCCTGCAGGGCCTCTGGCGTGGGATTGGGCAGGGCTGCCACTCTCCCCTGCCCCCAGGTCCAAGGCAGACTCGGGAAATAAACCCCAGCTCCTGTCCCCACCCAGCCCTGGTGCAGCCCCAGCTAACCAGACCCTAGGCGGCCGGGACCTGACAGGCATCTCTGGAAGCGATGCCACCAAGTAACTGGGATCGTCTGTCCCCATGGGGCCTGTGTGGGTCTTTCCAGGGTGAGGGTGGAGTTCTTTCGAGTGTCCCCAGCAGGCCCGCCTGACATGCGTCCCGTCCCATCCCATCAGGCACTGGCAGCGGCTCTGTGTCCCACGCCATCATCCGCACCATCGCGCCCACGGGCCACCTGCACACGGTGGAGTTCCACCAGCAGCGGGCAGAGAAGGCCCGGGAAGAGTTCCAGGAGCATCGGGTGGGCCGCTGGGTGACGGTGCGCAACCACGACGTGTGCCACAGTGGCTTCGGCGTGAGCCAGGTGGCAGACGCGGTTTTCCTGGACATCCCATCTCCTTGGGAGGCCGTGGGCCATGCCTGGGATGCCCTCAAGGTGGAAGGTACAGTGAGGGTTCTGGTGTGGCCCTGGGGCTAAGCTCCTGGGCTGGGCCTTGGGTCATCTGAAGCCCAGAGGGGTCAGAAACCACCAGGCCACGCAGCCTGGCCAGGCCAGGGCCCCTTTTGGCCCGAAATAGGGGTGGGTCAGGCTGGCGGAGAACTCATCAGGGAGGTCACCCCATGAGAGGGGGAGGTTGGGAGGAGTAGGGTCCGGGGAGGAGAAGGCCCCAGCTGACCCCCTGTTCCTTGGCCTTGTCCCGCTCTCACTCGGACGTGAGTGATGTCTGATTTCGCTGGGGAATGTGGCAGCTCCACCTCGGTGAGATGTGGGGCCCATGCCAGGGTACATTTCAGGGGTTGGAGGTCAGCCCCTGACCCCAGCCCTTGGCAGTGGAGTCTCCCTTCCCCCCAGCCACAAGCCGGCTAACAGCCCCTTTTAGGGAAGATGCTGGATGTGGAGGCGGGAAGGAGGTGGGAAGGAGGCGGGAAAGTTGGCTCTTTGCCAGGGAGGAGCTGGTGAGGCCCTGGGTTTTTCCCTTTTCTGGAGAAGGAGCCAGCCCAGGCAGGGCCCCTTCCCTTCTCCCTGCTGAGTAGTGCAGCCGGGAGAGCAGGGAGGGAGCCCAGGGCGCGCCCGGGGAAGGGCCGCCCCTCCGAAAGAGGTGCCAAGGCGCAGCTTCACGAGTGAGGGGCTCTGGCAGCAGCTCCCAGGGGGTCCCCTGTTGTGCCCCTGGGTTTTGCCAAGGTGGGCCCCGCTTCCCCACACCTCCACGCCTTCCAGCTTTGCCCCCAGGCACCACAGTCCCGGGTCCAAGTCCCACGGAGGCTGGAGCCAGCCACCCAGCCTGGGCCGAGCCCAGGGTGTCACACTCCTGGCCTTCTTGTCACGAAGCTTCCTTCCTGGTGGCTGGCTCTGGGGGAGCCGAGCCCAGGGTGTCACACTCCTGGCCTTCTTGTCACGAAGCTTCCTTCCTGGTGGCTGGCTCTGGGGGAGCCATGCCTTCTATCGTCCCCATCCCCCATGCTCCTCTAAGCTCCCTCCTTTGGGCTCTTGCTGTGTCTGATCTTTTTGGTCCCAGAGGCTCCCAACTTACTTGTGGGCCTTGCATTTTCCAATGGCTCCCCTGCCTGCTCTGTGCAGACCCCCCAAAGGGCCGTCCCTGGGCTCTGTGGAACTTGGGCTGGCCAGCAGGCTTGGGCCCTCGCCTGGTGGGGCCTGTTTTCCTGGCAGTACACATGGGGTTGGGTCCCTTCTTGGGGATGACCCTGCGCCCTCCCTGGGTTGGCTTCAGGCTGCTTGTCCCTCCTCCAGGCCCACACCTTCTTGAAAAACTGTCTGGGGGGGTCTCTGTCCCCAGGTGTGGCTGAGGTGACCAGGCCTCGGGGCCATTTGAGGACTCGCCCGGCCACGTCCCTGTCCCCGCTGCAGCTTCCCCACACCCTCCCTGCTAGGACAGGGATGTGGGCTGGACCCGGGCCAGGCTGAGGGACACTGCGGGTGGGCCCTGGTGGGAGGTGGCAGGAAGGGGCTGTCAGCTCCCGCCTGCACCCTGTCATCCTCGGCCGTCAGGCTCCGCTCCGAGTAGGCGCCTCCTGTTCCCCCGAGCAGGTGACAGCCTCTAATTTCCTGTGACAGCAGCAGCTCCCACCGCCTGTGAACCCCTTCCCCCGCCGCTGCCGCCCTGCACGGCTGGAGCTGTTCTGGGTGGGGTGATCTGGCGGCTGCGAGGCGGAGGTTCTGCTCTGACCCCTGGCGGGTGGTTCGTCCTGGCCCCAGGCCTCGGCTTCCTTGTGGAAGTGGAGGGTAGCGGTGCCCAAGTCCAGATGGAATCAGGGTCGTGGGCTCAGTCTGAGCGGTCCCTTCCACGCGACTCCCGGGGAGCTCTGGACCCACGCCTGCCCCCCCCCCCCGCTGCCCCGGGGACAGTGGGGGGCCCCGCCTCCGCCCTGCCACCCCCAGCCCTCCGACCCCGAGCCCGGCTCCCCACAGGTGGGCGCTTCTGCTCCTTCTCGCCGTGCATCGAGCAAGTGCAGCGGACCTGCCAGGCGCTGGCCGCCCGCGGCTTCTCGGAGCTTAGCACGCTGGAGGTCCTGCCGCAGGTGTTCAACGTGCGCACGGTCAGCCTGCCTGCGCCCGACCTGGGGGCCCACCCGCACCCCGACGTGCACCCCTTCCGCAGCGGGACGCCCATGAAGGAGGCTGTGGGCCACACGGGCTACCTGACCTTCGCCACCAAGACCCCCGGCTAGTGGGCCTCCCGCCAGGAGCTGCGGGGAGCTGGCCACAGGCCGCCTTATATGGTCGGTGAGCCTACTGGGCCTGCCTTGAGACGGACCGTGGGCCTGCGGCAGGCAGGGCGGGGCCTCCCACAGCCTGCACAGCCTGGTCCCCTCCCGGCAGCCTCTCTGGAGAGGAAAGCCTCCAGCCCATTGCCCTGCTGCACCCCCCCAACCCCCGCTGCTGCTCTCTTGCTACAGAGTCTCTGTTGTCACCTGCTCTTCTGGCTGTTGAGGCCAAGGACTGTAGGTGGTGGGGCCTGGGTCTGACCACCTCCCAGGTAGCCCCAAACTGGCAGGGAGCGGGGCCGGAGCCAGGAGGAGGAGGACCGCTGGGGCTGGGGGCCCCCAGAGCTGATGGTGCCTGGCTTGGGGCGGGAGAGGTGGGCTTTCTAGGTGGCCTCAGGCCTGAGCACAACCCTATCCCTGTCCCCGTGAGGTGTCCTGCAGGCCAAGTGGGGGTGCCCTGTACCCCCTCCCATAGAAGGGAGGGGGCCCTGAGCAGCCCTGCCCATCTGCCGCCCTTCTCTCGCTGCTGGAAGTGCCTTCCGTGGCCCCAGTCCAGCCAGAGCCCTGGCGTGTTGGTGAGAACAGCGCCCACGCAGCCAGGACCCTGAGGGGGACGGTGAAGTGCCTCAGGTATCCCACCCGGCCCTCTCAGAGCTGTTGGAACCCCGGCTGGCCAGCCCCGGGGCTGCTTGGGTGCCTCTGCCCCTCACAGGAGTGCCGGGGGCACGGGGATCACATCCAGGACGGAGGGCAGCCGGCCCTGGCCGCCAGCTCTGGGCCGAGCGGCTGGCATCCCCGCCTGCCTCAGTTGCATGAAGGGCCTGAGCGTCTGCCCTTGGCCTCCCCCGTCCTCCAGAGCTTCCATTTTCCCCCATTAGGACAAGAGCCCCAGGGAACGTGCTGGCAGGGGGGCTGGAAATAAACACTGTTGCCTCGGCCATGCTCACTGGTCTCTTCGGTGACCCTCACGCCAGACCCTTGTTCCCCAGTGCCAGTTCCAGGCTGGACCTCCCAACACACAGCCCTGGCCCCCGCTGCTTCCTCTCCCTGTCAGACAGCAGCCTGGGACATGATGGACAAAGGGGCAAGTGTGTGGCCACCTCCACTCAGCTGCAGAAAGGGCCACTTGTCCTAGTGGGGGGGAAGGGGGGGTTCTGCCTGTGTGTGTGTGTGTGTGTGTGTGTGTGTGCGCGTGCGCGCGTGCACACACACGTCCATCTGTCTGTCCCAGAGCACTGGACCCTCCCTTCACAGCCCAGCCTGGCATGGCATTTACAGCATGGACCACCTCTTATGCTTCTGGAAGGGCCTAGAACTCAAGAAGGACCCCCCCCCCAACCCCCTCCAAAAACAGGCCTGCCCTTCCAGCCCCAGGCCACACCCAGCCCTGTGAGTCCTTGCAAAGGTGCCAGGTGGGGTAGGCCTGCTGGAGGACTGGGCTCCTGGGGGGCCTCCCCTCTCCTGCCCAGGCTCCTGACAGGACCCGAGTCCCATCAGAGTTCCTCTGGGGCCCTGGAACCACCAACCCAGTGTTCTTACTCTCCTCCCAGGACTCGTCCTGACCTCTGAGCAAATGCCTAGCTTGGGGGACAGGGGGAGGGACCTGTGCCTTGCGCTGGCCTTGAAGAAAGCTGGGTGAGACCCCTGCCCCAGGTCATAACCCTCCATGCTCTGCAGAGCGCATGAACCTGCCTGAGCATCCTCCTCCTTCCACGTGGGGCTGAGGATGGCGGCCTAGACTACAGCCCTGGGCATCCCTGGGCCTGTGGGAGCTAGAGGATTGGGGTCAGGAGACCCTCACACTTGGCCCAGGGCAGCTCCGAAGTCCGGGGGGCCCTCCGGCCCCTCAGCTGTGCTGCCAGGCCCTACACAAGCCCCTGGGCATCAGCCTTGCCCCAGGTAACCATCCAGGCCCCATTCAGCTTCAGCCTGGAGCTCCATGTGGCTCTGAGCCCCCCAGGAACGCCTGTGCACCCTTTGAGACCCACTCCGGTGTCTCTGTGCCTCCCACCACCAGCCTCAGGCTGCCCCACCATTCTCCCGCATCTCCCAGCCTGCGATCCCAGGTGAGTGTGCCTCGGTTCTACAGAAGGGGGTCCTGGGTCCAGAGGCACCACTAGTGCCAGTGGCGAGTGAGTCCGCAGGTCTGTGTCCTCACCTCTGCAAGTCAGTGGCATGGGGCTGGTCACAGGGCGAGGATTCACCCAGATGCTCTCTGTGACGCTCCGTTTTTCCTGGAAATTCCTGTACTCACCCTGTGACACATCCTGCTGCCTCTACTGCTGCCCCCCCCCCCGAAGGCCTAGAGCCCCTGACTCACCCAGTCCCTGGGCCCCAGCCCAGGATCCTGCCCTATGGACAAGATTAGAGTCTGCTTCGGCCTCCATGGAGGCTGGTTCCAGCCGCTTCCCCCAGGAAGGCCCCCCGCCTTGCCCTCGTTAGCCCTGGTGTGTGCTGCCCGAGCCCTTGCCATGCTTTGCCTTCCCTACCTGTGAGGGGCCCACCTCCCCCAGCAGGAGCCCCTGGGGCGGCAAGGGTCCTGGGACTGAGCCTGAATTTCCGACAGGCACCGGGTGGATGCAGGCCCCTGTCTAGCAGTGTGACAAGGAAGGGCTGTTTGTTCCATGAAGACAGGACAGCAGGTGGACTTCCCCACACCTGCCCCCCACTCCTACTCTAGATCTGTGGCCCACCAACCCTGTCTTCCAAGGAACATGGGCTCCCTGCTTCTGACATGTGGAAGCGAGGGCAGGCATGCTCAATGGGACCCCAGGCCCAGGGAGATGATGCTGTTCCTGCCCCACCCTAGCTCACTGCACGTGTGGAGAAACTGAGGCCCAGAGGAAATGAGAGTTGTTGGGATGCAGACCTCCAGCTTCTGCCTGCCCACCAGGGATCCTCTCCTGCCCTGTGTGGTCCCCTAGGTTGTGACCACAGAGGCCAAAGGGGAGAGAAATCTCTGCTGTAATCCTGGAAGACTCCTCAGAAGAGGTGACAGCCATGCAGGGGCTGGAAGGGTGGGTGGAAATTGGAGGAGGCAAAGCAGGAGGCCTTGCCAGGTGAGAGCGGGCAGGCCTGGGGCAGGAGACCAGCATGCAGGCCGGGAAAAGTAAGATGGGAAGTGCTGGTGGGGAGTTTCACTAGGTGTCCGGGATACCTCCTCCGGCCTGGGAGCTGCCTGCCCTGTTTGCAAGGCTGCTCCAAGCACAGGCCAACTGCCCAGACACAGTGCCCCACTTTGCTGAAAGGCTTTTGGGCTCATGGGGCAGCCTGGGGATGGCCCTGCCTCCAGGCGGGGCCTCAGGTGTGAGGGTACCCGGGTCAGCCTTGCTGGAGGTCTTAGCTCTTGATGCCCCCAGGAGGGAGTGTGCAGGTGGGGGCTGATAGTGCCCGATTCTCAGAACCTTGCCCTCCTTGCCAGCCTCTCACGGGGTGCTCCCACCCAGCAAGTGGGGACCACGCCCCTCCTGGCGCTGAGGACCCAGAAATTTGGGGCAGCCCAGCCTGTCCTTGGGGCTGGGAACCAGGCACAGATTGTGCAGGTGAGAAGTGCACGATGGGAGCAAACAAAGCAGGGGAAGGGGGTTAAACTCGGGGGGTGGGGTGGGGGGTGGGTGAGGTTGGGGGTTGGGACAGTCAGGAGGGCTTTGCCAGCAGGTGGCCCCTGCAGCCCCAGAAGGACCAGGGATCTGGACTTGAACTGGAGGGAGGATGGCCAGACTTCGCTCTGCCCTCCTCTGCGGGGGGTTGGAAGCACTGATGGGCTAGAGCCTGCCTGCTTCCCGTCCTCCCTCTGGCGCCACGGTGACAAGTCACCTCCCTCCTCCTGGCAGAGGAGGACGAACACAGTGCCTGCCTTGGGGTGGGGGTGGGGAGGAGCTTCCCTGAGATGAAGTATCCCCTCAGCATCTGCTCCGCCGGTCCTCACAGAACATTTCTCGTCTGTTTTTTTAAGTTAAAATTTATTTTTAAAAATAATGTCTGCACCCATTGTGGGGCTCAGACGCATGGTCCCGAGATCAGGAGTTGCGCGATGGCGCACTCGTCCGCCGGAGCCAGCCCGGTGACCTAGAACGTGATTGTCCTCACTGCCGCCTCCAGGAAGCCCCAGTCCCCGCGGCAGGTTCCGAGGCGGCCAGAATTCGGCCGCTGCTGCTGGGTCCATCTGAGCGTGTCCTCTGCGACCTGAGGCAAGCCTTGGACGGCGGTTGGCCCGAGGGGCGCTTGAGGACGACGAGAGAGACTTCCCCGCCCTCGTGCCCCCTGCGCTCCGAGGGAAGCGCGAAGTGAAGCACCGCGAGCTCCTCGGGGACCCGCCCGCCCCGGCGGCCCCCAGACGCCTACCCCCACCCAACGCGCCTCGCGGGCTCCCGGCCTCTCCCGCCCTCCCAGGTCCGCCGCGACCTTGGCGCTGCGCCCCCCGCGCCCCCCGCGCCCCCCGCGCCCCCCGCGCCCCCCGCCGCGGCCGCGCGCGCCTCCCTTCTCGGGCCCGCCCTGCTCTGCGGCGGCCGCGGGCTCGGGCGCGGGAGGGGCGAGCGGGGCGGGCGGGCCCTTTCCGAGCCGCGGCCCCGGTCACGCGGCCCGCCCGCCGGCGCGCTGGGGAGGGAGACCCCGCGGGCGGGGCGCGGCGGGGCGGGCCGAGGGACCCGGGCCCCGCCGAGCGAGGAGGGCGTTTCAAAGTCAGGCCGCCCCCGGAGCCGCGGCGTCGGCGGGAGGGAATAGCTCGGCTCCCACCAGGCCGAGAATAGCTCGGAATTGGGTCACCCTCACCCGGAGCTCCGGTCACAGCCTCCAGCCTCCGACAGTAATCAGCTTTCTCCCTGACATCTGTCCCTTCAAAGGGGGACGGGCTGGGCGCGCGCCCATTTTTAGAAGACGCAGAGGGGCCAGGGCGGGGAGGAGGGTCGGCGAACGGGTTGGCCCCGCACCCCCTCCCCGCCAGGCGGGCCACCCCCATCCCCCCTGGCCACCTGCTGCTTCCCCCACCCGCGGCAGCCCCACCACCGCGCCGGCCCGCGGGCGGATCAGGGAGCTCCGCCCTACCCCTGCTCGCCGGCCCACCTTGCCCTTTGCCTCCGGAGACCCCCTGTGACCCCCTCCAGGGCCCCCCTTCCTTCCCTGGTGGAGGAAGGT